TTTCCAACAAGTGTCTCTTGAGTGGTTTCTCCTCTTGCAAAAATCACAATAACAATTTTTGTTGAACTTGAATGGCCCATGCGAGGAGTTAAAATTTGTGGAGTGGACTAGGTTATTGTCGGAATTTGGGCCACCAGTAAAAATGTGATTATTTTTGGAACTTGGGCTAGTGACCAAATTTTGGCCCAAACGGTTATTAAGCCCAGTTAAATGTGAGCCGTTGGATGAGGAGGTCAAATCTGGGCCACTAACTCCTCCATATAAATTATTATTTTCACCATCACTTTGCCCTAGCCTCCTTTATCATTTCCAGTCTTCGTTTTAGAGAGTCCACTCTGCCGCCGTTGGGAATTGACAGCGAAGGCAGCCGCTTCAGTACTAGATTGGGGTTCAGACGAAGCCGATCTCTGGCTTTCGTCTTGTACGGCCAGTTGGTAGGTGCGTCGGAGAGATGGCGCAGGGGATGTAGCCAACATCTGCATTCGAAAAGCCAAAAAACTGTCATTTAAACCAATTAAGAGTTGTGTTAACCTGTTTTGGTCTTTCAGGTGTTTGATCTGGTGAAGAATCGCGGAAGGGCCTTCAATCGGTTCTTCAACAGCATCGAGCTCGTTCCGAATCACCGAAAGGCGATTGAAATAAACTATGACTGGCAAGTTGTGTTGTTTGATTTCAAGAAGATTTTTACGCAAAGTGAAAATCTTTGCGAGATCAAGTTGGTCGTACATCTCTCGAATGTTTGTCCACATTTCATGGGCGTTTTTTGTTTGAGGCAAGCCGGCAGCAATCTCCTGGGTCAGGGAGTTGCTGATGCAAGCACGAACGAGGGTGTTGTATCGAATCCAGTGTTGGATCAGATGCTGTTCAATGGGATGGGGAAGGGTTCCATCGATGAACCCTTCCTTGTTTTTGGTTACCAGAGCGCGACGGAAATCTCTGGCCCAAGTGGTGTAATTGTGAGATCTGGCCAACGGCTGTTTGACGAGCATGAGTTCAGATCCATTGAAAACCGGCGAGAAAAAGGCATCCCCTAGTTCTGGTAGACCGGTGGAGGCTGGTAGGATTTGGAAAACCGGGTAGGGATTTTGACCCGTTGGGTTAGGGTTTTGACCCATAAACCCGAATGGGAATGGGCCGGGTTGGAAACTGGATCCGGGTTGTTGGTTGGGTTCTGGTGGAGAAATTGGATCCCGGTTGTTGTTTGGGCCTGGTGGAGTTTGGTTGTGTGGGCCTTCATTTGTGGCTGTGGATGCTGATTCTGGTTCAATTGTGAATTTGGTTGGGTCCATTTGTGATGGTTGGAAAAACTAATTTGGTTGCCTTGTTTTGCAGGTTTACAGAAACAATGGCTAAGAGATGATTGTAGCGGAAGCAAAGGTTTGCTCTGATACCATGTCAGAGTTTGAGATTGAAGGTGGCAAAAGAGGCAGAATGTTGCCGAAGAATGCCTACAAGAAAGCTTGATAAAAGGGCAGAAATGAAGAGCAAAGAATATCAAGCAGAGAGAGAGAATTGTATTTGTATATTGTGTGTTTTGTAACATGTACATAAGCCAATTTATACAGTGGCTTTAAATATAGTAAAGGAAAGGAAATAATACTGTTAAGGAAATACAATAAACTTTTAATTACAAAATATTACAATAATCAATCAAATAATTTGCAAATCAATGACTGCTTGATTCTAGCATAGATATCCTCAACATTCCATATTTCATCAAATAGTAACAGCGGCAAAAATCAATCAAAAATAAATAAAGAATTAATTGATTAAAGCCAATAACAGTAAATTGGGTTTTACATATCCAATCTTCACCCTCGCTGTTTCTCACAGATTAGGCATCTGAAAAAATTGAACAAATGGAGATTCAAGGTTGATAATGTGATTAAAAATAATACAAATTGGCGCCAATGACCAGTTCCTCCACCCCATTTCCTCGTCGTTTCAGTGCCTTTCTCACTACTGAAACACACATGAGAGTCATCATGTCATGCGATTCCACCAGACTGATTCTGCTCTCCGATCCATCACTTGACCATGTCTCGTGCTCATCACGTTTTATGATGAGTCGAAAAACATTTTAAACTTCCAGGTTTGGTAATAGTATGATTAGGGATGTTCAAAACCGATTAACCGATTTTGTGAACTGAACCAATTTTTCGATTCAAAAATTTTCCTAAACTGAACCAGTTAAGGAAAAAACTGGTTTTAAACACCAAAAAACCAATTCTGAACCAGTTTTAATTTAATATTTTTATAATAAAATAGATTTTTTTATTTTATATTTTAATTTAATATTTTTATAATAAACCAGTTTATAAAACCAATTTTGGTTAATCAATTTCCATATTCTCATAAACTGGTAACCGAATGAAAAAATTGGTTTTTGTATTTCTTTGAACCAAAACCAAACCGGTTTTTTAGATAACAAGAAATCTGGTATGGTTCAATTTCTATATTTTTTTTAACACCCCTAAGTATGATAGGTCCCAAGGTTCTACGAGAACAATCAATAACAGGGTTTTGTTACAATAGATTGCTGCAATAACACAGCAACATGAAATTTGTAAAACAAAAACGTAAAACTTGTGATATGCACTTTTACATGGTATTATATAGCCACAGCATGGCCAAAGAAAGAAAGCAAACTAATTAAGCAAATACAAGAAAACAAAGCAGCCTTAGAAGGCAAAAATATCCGGAAAAGCCCAGAAAAAAAACAACCAAAGTTTCACACAGAAAACAAGTACCCAAATAGTAGCAGCTTACAAGAGTAGAAAGAGCAATCAACATCATTTCACTGCCTAGAAAACCGAACATCACCAACTATTAGATGGTAATTATGTTGAATCACAACACAGAAAGCATCCGGCAGTAAAAGATTATATAGCAGCAGCCTTCATCTAACATATCTAATTAAATAGTTCAGCAACATGATCTGAATTCCAGGGAAGAAAATCCATAGAATTTCATAATGACGTCCATCACAATATGTGTCCACTGGCCAGCTAAAAGGTTATCGTTAGTGTGTGCACCAGAGACCAAGCAAGACTGAAACAATCACTGTCAATTTTGCAATTCTGAACAAAGCAGGTGGTATTGTCTACCATTGTTGGTCAGCTTGAACTTCTTTCATCACCTGGTTGCAAACTGACTAGCATCAGAAAGAGGCAATTACACAATTCAGGAATTGAATGAATAATTCATAAAAAGAATTGTGCGACCTGATGTAACACAATATGCATGGGATGGGCTGCTGCCTCAATTTGGCCTTTTATCCCCATCAGAGGAGAAATTATCAAGTCCCTCACACTTTGAGGCAATGAGTTTTTTATTTGAAAGAAAAATGAAGACTATGCCTTCACCAGATGAATGCTTGATATCAAGTAATAATAGCACTTCAAATTGTAGAACATAGAGGGCATGGCATGGAGTCACCCAAATATATAGTAATGCAAAACAAGACAAACCAAATATAATGACCAATATAAATTGCAGAAAGCTAGCTTCAGAAGGCAACAAAAAGTAAACTTTACCTTGAAACCATTGAACTATTATGCAGGACACCACCACAACTATACAGAATACCACAGAGAGTTCCAAGATTTGGCATATCTTCAAGATCAGGCAAATAAGAAACCCCATAAATGATGGAGTGCAAAGCCTTAAATTTCCTCTTGGAGGGTTTCCTACCAAAGCAACAAGAAACATGCTGCGCAGAATTTGCATGAGTCATTTTTTTACATTTTACCATTTAAGGGATATGGGGATGTAAAAGGTTATCTTATCAACTTGTTCCAACCTACTATAATAAGCTCATGGGTTTGAACTTAAATTACCTTTTGTATAAGAAGATTTCAACCTCCAAGTTTCACTCAAGTGTTACTCGCTTCTTTTAGGACCGCAAGCCTGTGTCAGTTCCATTCAGTAACAAATTTGGAAAACTGTAAAATACAATTAACATCTTACATCAATAATAACAATATAAACAATAATGGCCTAGCCCTACATTATTTCTACAAGTGAAAAACATTGCAAGATCATTCCCTGCATTATGACTTGAGATTATTGTATAATCATTTTCTTTTTGGAACAAAAGTCATATTTACGTGAAATTTATTAATTAGGCTTCTCCGAAGTTTAAAAATATTAATAATAATTGGGAGATTTTCATGGAGCATTATTAAAAATCCTGATAAACCAATTAAATCATATAGGACATGTTTAATTCTTCACCCATAAATCATACAGGCAGATAACAAGGTTAAAATGCATTTTTAAAACTGAAAATGCATGGCTAAAAGTAATACATATATGAAGATAACAAAGTTTAATAGAGTATGAGAAACATTCAACGCTAGAAAGAGTTGTTACAAGATTTAACAAGTAATGATTTCCTAAATAAGTAAATTGACTTGAATGTTTGAGTCCACTTACTAAACATTATATAGCCTAATAAAAACATCAATAGAAGTTACGCTACCTCATAAAAAACTGAACTAGTAGTTTGCTATCAAATGACATCATATTTAAACATTAACACAGGATCAGCCCTCCAAAACAAAAAAATTTAAAAGATTGTCACTGAAACTTGATATCTTTCATGCATCCACTATATCTTTAACATTTCTCTCCAAACCCTCAATGCCAAAGAACTTATCACTTGTTTTAACTTCATATTATTGGTTCTTATTTTATTTTTTTTTTCCTTTCCCAAAGAGACCAAAAAGACATCAATTTGTCAGACAACACGATTTTCTCTGTGTAAAGTAATAATCTAAGAGTACATATGGCTTAGTTTTAATATAAAACAATAGTTTTCCATACATCAAGTGTACCAATATTTCTATTTAACATCACATGTGGACGACCGTTGAGTGATACACAATTAAAAAATATTAAATAGTTCAACCAATGATTAATGCTAAATTGAAACAAAGAATCAAATAAGTTAAATGAAAGACAAAAAATCAGCAGAAAATAAAAGTATTAACAGTTACCTGATGACATTTGAATCAAAGCCAGATAGATTGGCAGCTTCTCTCAAAGCAGTCCTCCATCTCTGCAATGTTTCTTGCGAACTCTTGAAACGTTTTTCAAGCTTAATAAATGCATCCCCAAAAGTCCCAATCTGGTTCCCTACATCTGACGGGTACACACCATAGAAAACAGGAATTACAATCTGACCATAACTGTTCTTGCATTCAAGGATCTTTACAAGTTCTTCAAGGCACCATAACAAAGAAGAATACTCTTTTGAGAAAATGATCAAGGAAATCTTTGACCGTTCAATTGCATTAAAAAGAGATGGAGAAATTTGATCCCCTCTTTTAAGCTCGTCATCAATGAATGTATTGATCATTTTTTGACACAATGCGGCATATAGATGGCTAGTAAAATTATTGCCGGTATCCTCACCTCTGAAACTAAGAAAAACATCATACTTTTCTTGAGAAGAAGAGGAAGAAGAAGCAACAGCCATTAACTTAGAGTGATGAGAATTACTTGACATTAACAAAAACATAAAGAGCTAAGCCAAGACATCATATAATTGAGTATTTGCATCAATCTCTAAGCATTTCAAATTATCTCCTTTCCTAGAAGATGCCTTTGACATCTGGAGTGAAAGGCGACCCCAACAAACAACTAATAAGCCATTCACATCCGGTGTGGTTGTGACACAAATTCATCAATTCACACACAAGAAATTCCTCAGCAACGGTTCACATTTACCTCTCCTTGCATCCAAAAGTTTCCAAATCATTACAATTTTGTTAAATTCTTAATATACCTTCTACATTGCCCACTATTTACTGTTAACTCTGTCCCTGTAATCATCAAATTGAAATGGGGCTCAACATTTTCAAACATGCAAACAAAAATTTTGAAATTGGGTTTCCACTAGAAGTAATTTAATTGAAATTAAGAATAAATCTAATGAAGATGTATTTTTATATTTCTGTCATGACAATCGATCACGATTCTATTTTTGCTTTTGTAATTTAATGGTCCTTCATTGTGAACAAAGTTCTGGAATAGTTTTAGGAATCAATCACTAGAAATTTTAATATTTTTTTTCTCCAATCATATATAACAGGATAAGGGAAAAGATGCTTATACGTAATCAGAACTCTAATAGATGCTTGTTTTACATTTTCACATAATTTAACTAACACATAAATTCATTGACAATATATATGCTAAATGTATTAAGTTAATTAATTAATAATTAAATTCATATTTTATTTCTAATTGACTTGCCCCAGTTAACTTAATCCTATGGTGATTGGCACTAACAACCCAACCACTGCTTCATGTTTTTCACTTGGTAACTAGTTGACTTCTAATAAATTGTTGAACTAATATTATTCTTATTCATGTTCTTAAATATATATATTTAATTTGTAGTCTTTAATTACTGATTTCTGGCCACTTGACCTTCTTCATTCACATCAATTAGTCATATGACACGATGTCGCAAAACAAGAAAAAGGGAAACATTAATTTGACTAATATCAATTTAATAACTCAATCAAAACATCACAATAAGAACGGATTAAATTAACATTAATACTTTATTTCCAATTGACTTCTCCTTGATTGACAGTTATGAATAAGCCAACCCAACCAAACTCTGTCCGTTAGTAATTGTTGTATGTATATATACGTTTTATTTGATGTTTCTATCCCCAATTGTTGCGTGTTCTATTTGTCATATTCTTATGAACGAAAAATTAAAAAAAATTATCGTATATTATCTTTCACTGTGTAAACAAACAGTGGCGTTCACATTATTCCATCTTCACTAAGTGGGTTTCGAAAATGGAGTCTGATTAAGCGAAACTAGGGATTCAAAATTAAAAATATCAGAGTTTCGAATCAAGATTAACAACAACAAAAAAAATCAACAAAAGAAATTTATTAATGAATTAATTGAAGGAAAAATGGGTTTTACATACCAAGTATTCAGTCTGGCTCTTTCTCACGAATCAGGCATATGAAGGATTGAATGAAGGGAGATTTAGGGTTTGACAATGTGATTTGTAACCAAATTTGGCGCGAATGAACTGTATCTTCGTTCTCCATCCCATTTCACGCGCTTTTTTGTGTCTTCCTAAGCGGAGCTCTGCAATTAGAGGAATTAAAAAGAATAATGGAAACTGGGTTTTCACTAGAAGTGAGTTAACTAAGTCGGCTTCGAAAATGGAGTAGGATTAAGTGAAATAAGGGATTCAAAATTAAGAATATATGAGTTTCGAATCAAGATTAACAGCAACAAAAATCAATCAACGAAACAAATTTATTAATGAATTACTTGAAGGAAAAATGGGTTTTCACATACCAAGTATTCATTCTGGCTCTTTCTCACGAATCAGGCATATAATGATATGAAGAGATTGAATGAATGGAGATTTAGGGTTTGACAATGTAATTTGTAAGCCCTGTTAAGAAATTGTTGAAATATTTTCAAAATTGTTTTCTGATACCCTCGTCAAAGTTAATATTTTTTTTAAAATTTATTTCATCATTTGTATTTGTATGAAATATCAATTTTATCCTCCTTGTCAGCCATTTTAACAGCTCCGAGCTCCAACACCAACAGTCGGGGGTGAGGGTATATTTTATAGTTTTTGACGTTGGTGGAGGCTGTGTATTACACTTTTTAGTTTCAGGGGTGTATATGGCACAGACCCTTTTTTGAAAGACGATAAAGAACGTTTTCTCACTGATTAGTAACTATGAACCATTGAAGTCCAAAGAAAGTGATGGTTTGAGATTAATTGATTTGGCTCTCTTCATCGATTTCCAATTCATTATATTAGAATGAATTGATAGTTATAAAATGAGCATTCTTTTGTTCTCCCACTAACCACAATGATTAAATCTTTATTTAAGTACACTACTATTTCAAGTTTTCAAGTATTTTTCCATACTCGAAGAACACAAAAACACTATGAAATACATGATTTATACGAAAAACATAAGAAAGTAAAACTGTCGTCTTATAAAGATTTACATGAAGATGATACAACGGTACCCCAAAGCATAAAACCTAAATATGTTCTTTAAAAGATGATAAAATGTGTATCATGCATCGAAAATTGATTTAATTACAAACTTAACTTCCTCTCGGGTAAAAAGGCTATTTATATTTACAATTTCTCAAGACGCGTGCATGTGGTTGCTTCAAAAATGTCAGCAGCTTAAAGGATGCAGATTATGCTTTTAACAACAATGTCCACATGTACCTCTGATGGGGGAAACAAAGTTTGGACGGCAAGGATCTTCCAGAGATTTTTGCGCTTGTAGACCAATATAAGATTAGGCAGGCTCGCGAGGACGAGTGGCCTAAATAGAACTCAGAGCTCTAAGTCGTTAGAAGTATTTCGCCAACACAAGTAAGCCTCGAGCTGCTTGGTGAGTTGTTAGGATACGAGACATCTGCTGTAGCGTATCCTGGAGAATATGGTCAGCCTGTTTGGACAAGAAGTAGAAGAAACGCAAATTCGAATCACTAGAAGGTTTCTCAATTTAAGTCAGATGTGCTGATATAGAACTAATTGACATATTAGAAAATGGATTATTGAAAGATATTGAAAGTAGAGATAGCATGCAATAGAAACATCAGATATTCTTACCTGGTTCACAATGACGACTAGAGCTTCCAACTTCTCCATTGTAGTAGGTATCCGTGGGATGTAACCTCCTTCTACTAGTTGACCAGCAGCTACAGTTTCAGCAAGAGATTGATTGCAATTTCTCCATGCCTTGAGACAGAGCATCTTCCGTTTGCTGACATGACTGTCTTAGGTTACTAACTTCCATATATTGTGAATCGATCAAGGTGTCAAGATGAAGAACAAGAACCTGTTATCAATGTCAGTTTAAGAATCATCGTTATTCTAGCTGTGGTGAAAGACCTTAGATAACAATTCGATTAAGAAATATGTGAAAGAGCAATTTTTACATATATATATATAATAAATTACTGAATGTGTCCAAAACTATGGTTACTCCATTTATTATACGTAAATACCTTCAATGGAGCAAATTATTTCACTTATTAAATAAATTGAAATATGAATAACCTTAAGAAGCTCAGAAGGGCGAAATCCTCCAATCCAAAAGAAAAAACGTTCAGCTACTGTCTTCCACATGCTGGACATTACATAGAAAACATCGGCTTTTGCAACAATAGATTTCATGCGGAAAAGTTCAAAATAGTGGCTCATGCTAGCCTCCACTAGTATGTGAAGCTCTATATCACTAATATGGGCCTGCAATGCACACCTCAGTTCACAAGTTTGCCTATTTTGCTCTTCAACCTAGTGTCCATACTCCATATACAAAATTAGCCACAACCTATGGGTCAAATGGGTCAATTGTGAGAATGAATGCACTGAATAAAGTGAAGTCAAAGGCAGTATGTGGTACATTAAGTTATGTGCCAATTCTTGGCTTTGTGCAGATATAGACTGTTTTTAAGTAATTTCTGAATCAATCATGGAGAATAGGATCAATTTGAGAATAGTTCAAAAGTCCTAGCGAACTAATACAAAAACCACCTTCATTGCATTAATACATGAACCATTTTTTAGGAGTGTAATATTTCATAAGTTTCAGCCAATTAGGCAAACATAAAGCAACAATAATTTCAGAGAAGAAACAAGGATCAAAGACTAAGAAGCAGAACAAGAGTTTGTGAGTCTGCAGAAAATAAAAGATGCAAATAAACATGTACAATAGCTTATCAATATTCATATAAATTAGAAACAATCAAACTTACCTTATCAACAGGTTTACTTGCTTCTTGTTCTTACTTGTTAGAAGGCGGGAACGTTCCATGCGAAGTATCCTCTGACTGAAAAGATGAACAAAAGAATTATTTAGCTTGGGAATCCAAATAATGTGTCCTCTACTATCAGACCAAGTAGAGTAAATGTTAATAGTTCACCCCTGAGTGTCTAGTTTTGTATCCACCTCCACAATCATATGTGTTGATGTATTCGGATTGCCATTACTTTTAAAGTTTTCCCCGTATGTGCCAAGTTGATGAATGGGCTCATAAATTCCCAATCTACTTGGGGTGACAAACTGGGTGGACGGAGAGTTCATGCCCTTCGAACTTATGATGGGATGCAGGTCCGTTAGCTTTAGACATAAACACAAATACAAGATATAAGCATAAAGACAACCATAGTCATGGAAAACTTAAAAACTTGCTCTACTTACGCAATAGCAACAGAGTCCAAGAGTTAAGTTCTAACATAATCTGATTAAGATCTGAGTAGACTTCAATTTAACAATAAGCATTATTTTTTGCAGATGAAATCAACACAAGGCGAATTATTTATAAGGGTGCAAAAAGACGAGCGGACGGACTATGTGGCAGTCTAGCAATGAAAGTCAAATATCTCAATGCACACGCACACCACAATCTACAATACACACTTCACCAGAGGAGTTGGATGCACAAGTAGAGAAAGAAAAAGGCCTTAATTTACTGCAAACTTTTAATTTTGTTTAACCTACAAATGAAAATAGCACCATTCACCAGAGAAGCTAATCAAACCCTGTTATTTGCTTTATAACACCTTTTTTTTTCCTTGGATTGCTATGGGTCCGTTTGTTTTATTATTTTGAATAGGATTTTGGGAATAATATTGGGTAGTTGAATAAGAGAGTATTACGAAGTAAAATTTAAAAATTTACAAAAAAATCTCCTAGGTCTCCTAATTTAACTAAACACCCAAATATATAAATTTTTTGTAAAATGACAAAAACACATTCACCCACCCACAGTGCTAGATTCCGGCCACCACCGTCGGAATCTGGCTAGAAAATGTCGTTACAACTCAGACCGGTCCGATCTGACGGGTAGGGCGTCAATATGGCTTTTTTCGGCCAGATTCGTGGTGGATCTGGCTGGAAAATGCCAAATCTACGGCCAAAATTTGGCCGTCGACAGCCGCAAAAGTTCATATCTGGTCATTATTGATAGCCAAAGATATGATCGTTGTTGTCAGTCTACGATGACTATTTCTTTGGCGGTCGTTGACAGCCAAAACCACTGTGGATCTGGTCGGAAAATGGCAGATTGATGAATTACTGGCTAGTTCTAATAGTTTGTAGGCCATTGTGACAGATTCTAGCTACCATCGATAGTGGTTGCCAGAATCTGGCAAGTATCGGTTGGTGGGAGTGTTGTTGTTAATTTTTAAACTTTTTTCTAGGGGTGTTTATGAAATTAATAAACTTAAGGGTCTAAAAGTAATTAAAAAATATACCAATATTTCTCAAATAACAAAAAAAACAAGTATTTTGGGAATAAGATTGAGAATATGGGTAGAAATAATAAGCCAAACAGAGCCTATGATATTCTAATTAGCAATATATTAAATTATTGGAAGTTAAGGAAATATTATATTCAATACATAAATTATAATGGTATGCTATTAAAGTATTAGCAATATGATGACATCTTTTATTTAAAAAAAAAAAAATCCAAAATGCATCTTCTTGAGAAAATAATAAAAACTTTTTTTTTTTTTTTTCCGTAAATCCGGTAATTGTATAAAAAAATACGAAAAAATACAAAGGAAATGAGGAAAAAACCCCACAGCTCTCTTACATTGGACAGGCCCAGGGAAGAAAACAAAGTAAAAGCCTAGCTAAGGATGTACAATCCTTTACACCAGGCTTAAAAAAAATAATTAAAAAAAAAAAAAGGTTGGAACAATAGGAAACAACAATCTACAAAGCAAAAACAAGCCCAAACAAGGCCAGGACAGACCAACCTTTTTCAACCTAAAAACATAAGCCCAAAGTCTCTCTATTCCTATTAGCAGCAAACAAATGATCCATTAAACCATTAAAGGCTTCTTCCTCAGACCTCTTATTGCCTTTGACATTATTATTATTGACAATCTCATTCTTAAACTATGTTTTAATAAAACCTCTTATTAAATAAAATTATTGCAAGTATATTATTGAATAAATAATCACATGCAAATATCAATGGAATATTCACTAAAGCTTATTCAAAGTCTCCTCATAAAAATAAGTATATAATTGTAAATTATATTGCAATCTGGACATATCGTTAAAGAAGGTCAAGTCGTGTTAATTGATTTTATGAAATTGATGAGCTAACAATTCGCCCATCTTTTCTTTCGTATATATCTTATCAATAAATATGGAAATTGTAATATAACTTTCAGAAGAATAAAAATTTTGGTTACTTTAAAATGAGTAAATCACTAAGAGAGGTCAAAATGTGTTATATGGTTATATTAAAAAGATCTATCATAAAAGAAATACACAATCTTGTGATCTTATACAAAAAGCCAAGCAACCGAGGAACGCCGTAAAACTCTGTCCATCTCTCACAACGGCAGCCACAAAAACAACAAAAAGATCTGCATAAAGGGCAGCCTCGCTTCCCACACCAAAGCCACAACTGAGACTGTAACTCTTCCA